GAGGAGGAGGAGGAAGAGGAAGAGGAAGAGGACGGGGAGGGGGAGGAGGAGGAGGAGGAGGAGGAGGAGGAGGAGGAGGAGGAGGAGGAGGAGGAGGAGGAGGAGGAGGAGGAGGAGGAGGAGGAGGAGGAGGAGGAGGAGGAGGAGGAGGGGGTAGAGCTCGATGAGGAGGGCGAGGGCGCGAGGGCGGAAAGGATATCGGGAGGGAGGGGGGGAGGGAGGGAGTGAGGGATGGAGGATAGGGGATGAGGGGGAGGATGAGGAGGAGGGGGGCGGGGGCGGTGGAAGGAACAGGCGGGCGAGCAGGAGAGGCACTCGCAGAAGCCCGCCGACCCCGCTGAGGCTCTGGCGCCGGCGGATTTCGCGGACGACGTGTACGTGGACCTACGCCGTCTTCGCCGCCGCCGCCGCCGCCGCTCGCCGCCTTCGCCACCGCCTTCGCCGCCGCCTTCGCCGCCGCCGTCGTCGTCGTCCTCGTCGTCGACTTCGCTGCCGTCGTCCAGTCTCCCAGCTGGTCTCTCCTTCTCTCCGCTCCTGGCGCTTGTTCCTGGCGCTTGGGCGTCCCAGGCCCGAGGCAGAGCTCGCGCACGTGTGCGTTTCTTGCCAGGATACATCTGGCCTCTAGCCGACACTGGCTCCTGGCCGACACCAGGTCTTATTCTGTAGCCATGAATAATAATGATAGTAATAATAATAATAATAATACGAATCATCATAATACTAATAATACTAATACTACTAATAATAATACTAATAATAATAAACATCATAGCAATACTAATACTACTAATAATAATCATACGAATATCAAGACGATGAAGAAGACAACAACTAACACTATTATTAATCATAATTCTACTAGTGCTAATAATACTACTAATAAACTAACAAGACTATCAGTAATACTGATAAGAAAAATATTGATAAGAGAAAAAGTCGTTGTCGTCTCCTGCTGGACTTGTGGGATGCTGGTTCGAGAAGGGAGGGAGAGGCTTCGGAATGAAGGATGGGGGAGGGAGGAGGGAACGAGGAGGTCCCCTCCCTCCCCCTGCCCTCCTGCAGGTCCGTCCTCCCCGAGCATCGCGGAGGCCTCATTCCCGCCGCTCTGCAAGCCGGCCCGTTCTGCTCAGCCTCCCAGGCCTTACGCAGGTCGTGCCTGTTCCCCGCAGGGGTCGACCAGCGCAGTCCTCGTCTGTGGTGGTGGTGGTGGTGGTCGTGGTGGTGGTGGTGGTGGTGGTGGTGGTCGTCGTCTCCTCCTGGGGCTGCGGAGTGCCAGTTCGACAGAGGTGGGATCAGGATGCAGGGTGCAGGGAAGCAGGGAAAGAGGGAAACAGGGTGCAGGGAAGCAGGGAAAGAGGGAGGGAGGGAGGGAGGGAGAGAGGGAGAGAGGATGGGAGAGAGGGAGGGAGAGGGTGAGGGGGAGAGAGAGAGAGAGAGAGAGAGAGAGAGGGAGAGGGAGGTGGGCGGGAGGGAGGGAGGGAGAGCAGAGAGAGGGAGGGAGGCGCATGCTGGCTCGCGGGAGAGAGGGCGGGAGACAGGGAGGGAGGTCCCCTCCTCTCGACGCCGCCGCCGTCGCCGTCGTTCTCGTCCTCGCCGCCGCCGCCGGAGGGCGGTGGTCGGGCCGCCTCCTGGGCAGGAGCTGAAGAGCGACCCGATGGCGGGGGGGTTCTTGAAGAAAGGCGCCAACGGCAAGTGGTCCGCGGGACGCCGGGGGGAACGTCAGGCAGTGGCGAAGCGTCCTGATTTTGCCACTGGGCCCACCAAGCAATGTTATGAGAACCTTCTGCTGTGGCTTGCACGACATCTTTTTGCGGCATTTCTGGCCGCGGCAGTCTTGTGCTAACCCATCGGTGCGGGGCTCCAAGATCCGTGGTTTCGTTCTTAGAACCTCCTCCTCCCCCTCCTCCCTCCTCCCTCCTCCCACCCCCTCCTCCTCCTCCTCCTCCTCCTCCTCCTCCTCGCCCTCCTTCTCCTCCGCCTCCCCCTCCACCTCCCCCCTCCCTCCTCCCTCCTCCTCCTCCTCCTCCTCCTCCTCCTCCTTGTCCTCCTCCTCCTCATTCTCTTTGGCTCCAAGATCACGTCGTGGTAGTTCTGTCGGAATGCGGGGACGGTCGGCCCCTGCTCCATCGGGGCGCACGTCACGGGGGTCAGCGCTAACGGGGCTCGGCCATCGTCATCCGATCCCCTCGGGTCGCGAGGGGGGCGACGCACCACCGCCTCTTCCTCCTCCTCCGCCTCCTCCTCGCTCCTCGCTCCTCCTTCCTCCTCCTCCGCCTCCTCCTCGCTCCTCGCTCCTCCTCGCTCCTCCTCCTCGATCCTCGATCCTCCTCCTCCTCCTCCTCGCTCCTCCTCCTCCTCGCTCCTCCTCCTCCTCCTCTCCTCCTCGATCCTCCTCCTCCTCCTCCTCGCTCCTCCTCCTCCTCGCTCCTCTCCTCCTCTCCTCCTCTCCTCGATCCTCCTCCTCCTCCTCCTCCTCCTCCTCCTCCTCCTCCTCCTCCTCCTCCTCCTCCTCCTCCGGGGTTCGGCAGCCACGTGGGGCCGCTCTCCGATCCGCGCCCTCCGCTGGCCTCGGGCTCGGAAGCTCCTGTGCGGCCGCTGGGGCCTGCAGCGCGGCGCTGGCTGGCCCCGGTTCGCTCGGCGATCACAGGGGGTGCGGTTTGCGATCGGGGTGTGGCTTGCGATCGGCGCCAGGATGGGCCCCACATAGATATATTAACCTGGGTTTATGATGTTCTGGGACAATTGGCCAGGGCTCACAATGTCTCGCCCGGAACACTATGCACCTGGGTTGAACTGTTCTGGGAATGTTGAAGGGGGTTCATCATGTTCCCCCCGGAACATTAGAAACCCTGGTTTATAATGTTCTGGGGGTATCGACCCCAAAAACATATTAACCTGGGTTCATAATGTTCTGGGAATATTGGTTGGGGTTTACAGTGTCCCGGGAATAATGAACTCGGGTTTTGTCATTCAGGAATGACAATAATCATTGTTTCCCCCCGGGTCCCTCACCAGGTTTTCCATGTCGGAATATTGACCCCGGTTCATTATCTCCAGGAGATAATAAGCCCAGATTTTGAATGTTCCCGGATTGTTGGCCCTGGGTTAATTGTTCTGGAATGATAATGATTGAGCCTGGGGGGCGCCGTTTGGGGGGGGGTACGTTCTGGCCTGAAATCGATCTCGGTTCATCATGTTGGAATATTCAACTTAGGTGGGTTATTCTGGAAATATTATGATTCGGCCAGGGTGTGTGTGAGCCCGATCCATTCACAGGACAATAATCCATAGGGTATCACCTGCAGATCATGAACCTAGGTTTTCATTCGTAGATACTCAACCACGGTCGACGAGGATTTCCCACCTACCCTGACCAGCGCCGTTGGGGCCTGTGGGGCACGACGCTGTCCTCGTCGGGCCTCCTCGGGGCGCGGCGGAGAGCTCGGTCGAGGTGCTCGCTCGGTCGAGGTCCTCCCACGCACCCCAGGGTGCCCCCCCGGGTTCCTGTCGCAAGCCACACCCGTCGCAAACCACATCCTTCGGAGTCGCAGATTATCAAGCAGTGGCGAAGCGTCCTGGCTCGCCTATAGCCCTACCAAACAGTGTTCTAATAGCTTTTTGTGGTTTCCACGTCATGTTCTTAGAACATTTCTGGCGGAGTCTGTCTTGTTTTTTGTTTAACATCGGGATTATGTTCTAAGAACATTGTTTTTGTTCTTAGAACATGTTTGTGATCTAAGAGCATTTCGTGGTAGGACTATAGGAATGCCGGGACGGTCGGTCCCTGCTCAAGGTTAGCGCTGATTTGAGCGGGGAAGGCATAGTCCAAAGTGGGTCGTGGTTCGAGGAGCGAGGGTCACAGGTCGCCCTTGTGGCCACGGGTGAATTCCTCTTGAGATCCAGGCTCGGACGCACTGCCGGACAGGTCCAGGGGTTGATATTCGACCCCTTGGCCCAGACCTCCAACGTCTTGCACAAGTCACAATTTGTTCCCAAACATCCTGTGGTGTTGGGTCCTCGTTTTGCAGAGACACCGTCCCGCATTCTCCCTCCTCCCGCTGCCCCTTTGGTGGCAGCGCCTGCGTGCGGCTCCACCATCCCATTTCGTGGCCCCAAAGGGAGCTCCACATAATGCCCCAGTGGCAGCGCCCGCACGCGGTTCCACCCGGCATTTCGGCGCACCCCTCACACGTATCGTGACCCCACAGGGAGTTACACCGAAGGCCCCCGTGGGAGCGCCCGCATGCAGTTCCACCCTGCATTTCGGCGCACCCGTCACGCGTTCCGCGGCCACATAAGGAACTCCACCGAAGGCCTCAGTGGCAAAGCTCGCATGTGGTTCCACCCTGAATTTCGGCACACCACACACACACGTATCGTGGCCGCATGTGGTTCCACCCTGAATTTCGGCACACCACACATGTATCGTGGCCCCATATGGGGGCTCCACCGTAGTTCCACCCCTCATGTCGGCACACGCCTCACGCGCTTCGTGGCCCCATGGGGAGCTCCACCGAATGCCCCAGTGGCAGCGCCCGCATGCGGTTCCACCCTGCATTTCGGCGCTTTTCTCACACGCTTCGTGGCCCCATAAGGAGCTGTACCGAATGCCCCAGTGGCAGCGCCCGCATGCGATTTCACCTTTCATGTCTGCACACCCATGATACGCATCTTGGCCCCATAGAGAGCTCCACCGACGTTCCCGGTGGCAGCGTCCGAATGCGGTTCCACCCTGCATTTCGGCGCACCCCTCACACGCTTCGTGGCTCCATGAGGAACTCCACCGAATGCCTCAGTGGTTGCGCCCGCATGCGGTTCCACCCGGCATTTCGGCGCACCCCTCACACGCTTCGTGGCTCGATGAGGAACTCCACCGAATGCCTCAGTGGCAGCGCCCGCATGCCGTTCCACCCTGCATTTCGGCGCACCCCTCACACGCTTCGTAGCTCGATGAGGAACTCCACCGAATGCCTCAGTGGCAGCGCCCGCATGCCGTTCCACCCGGCATTTCGGCGCACCCCTCACACGCTTCGTGACCCCATAGGAAGCTCCACCGACGGTCCCAGTGGCAGCGCCCGCATGCAGTTCCACCCGGCATTTCGGCGCACACCTCACACTCTTCGTGGCTCCATGAGGAACTCGACCGAAGGCCTCAGTGGCAGCGCCCGCATTTCGGCGCTTTTCTCACACGCTTCGTGGCCCCATAAGGAGCTCCACCGAAGGCCCCAGTGGCAGTGCCCGCATGCAGTTCCACCCTGCATTTCGGCGCACCCCTCACGCGTTCCGTGGCCACATAAGGAACTCCACCGAAGGCCTCAGTGGCAATTCTCGCATGTGGTTCCACCCTTTATTTCGGCACACCCCACACACGTATCGTGGCCCCATATGGGGGCTCCACCGTAGTTCCATCCCTCATGTCGGCACACTCCTCACGCGCTTCGTGGCCCCATGGGGAGCTCCACCGAATGCCCCAGTGGCAGCGCCCGCATGCAGTTCCACCCTGCATTTCGGCGCTTTTCTCACACGCTTCGTGGCCCCATAAGGAGCTGTACCGAATGCCCCAGTGGCAGCGCCCGCATGCAATCTCACCTTGCATTTCTGCACACCTTTGACACGCATCGTGGCCCCATAGAGAGCTCCACCGACGTTCCTGGTGGCAGCGTCCGAATGCGGTTCCACCCTGCATTTCGGCGCACCCCTCACACGTATCGTGGCCCCACAGGGAGTTCCACCAAGGGCCCCAGTGGCAGCGCCCGCATGCGGTTCCACCCGGCATTTCGGCGCACCCCTCACACGCTTCGTGGCTCCATGAGGAACTCCACCGAATGCCTCAGTGGCAGCGCCCGCATGCGGTTCCACCCTGCATTTCGGCGCACCCCTCACACGCTTCGTGGCCCCATAGGCAGCTGCACCGAAGGCCCCAGTGGCAGCGCCCGCATGCGGTTCCACCCGGCATTTCGGCGCACCCTCACGCGCTTCGTGGCCCCATAGGGAGCTGCACCGAATGCCCCAGTGGCGGCGCCTACATGCGGATCCATCCCGCACATCGCCGTACCTCTCACACGCGTCGTGGCCCCACAAGGGGGCTCCACCGACGGCCCCAGTGGCAGCGCCCGCATGGCGCACCCGTGCCCATTTTTTTGGCGCACCCGTCGCACGTGCCGTGGCCCCACAGAGAGAGGTTCACCGAGGGCGAGACCCACAATTGCGTCATTCACAACTACTCATGGTTTGGTCCTTCGCCTGGATACTGTTTTCTTCAGTTTCACCTTCTCACGGGCCGTTTTCAGGCTTCTGAGGTCATCGTCAAAAATAATCAGGATGACAAGCCCGTCACTGGGAAGTGGTCGTGCGCTTCATCGTTTCCCTTCTCGTTGCCATCCACCAGCCCTCTCTTCAGCCTCATGCTCGTGTTCCTCTCACATCTTCAGGTTTTCCTGATGCGTTGCTATCGCTCTGCCCCCCTCATCACTACCCATGGTAGGCTGTCTTGCGATAGTAGGCATCGTGGTGTTGGGTTCATCAGAGGTCCGTGTGGCCTCGCATGGGCGGCAAGAGCTTCAAGGGCTTCATCGGCTACGGCTATCACCGGGTGCACGCGAAGGGCGGCAAGGTTGCAGATGATATCGATCCACAAGATTGGGAGGTCCCATTCCAGACGAGGAGGAGGAGGAGGGGGATGGTCGTGGTGACGACGAAGAGGAGGGGGCGGATTAGTACAGTAGGAGGGAGAAGCGGCGGGGGAGTTAGAGGGACGGGGCGGCGGGATAGGGATGGAGAGTTGGAGGCAGCGCGGGAGAGATGCGGAAGAGGATGAACACATTGATGCGGAAGAGCGCGAGGCGGAGGGGAGTGGCACGAAGAGGACGACGAGGAGGCACTGTCAAGGAGTCCTCTTCTCGCCACTGCGGAATTCAGCACGATATCCATGTAGCTTCCGGGGGCGCACGGTCCAGACCACGCGCACTGTGGGATCGCCTTGGGCATCTTACATGGGTGACCAATCTTTGGGAGCTACAGCGTATATTGCGAGCGGAGCAGCAGGACTCTGGATTAGCACGACATTGAGCAACCACGAGCTCTCAGGGGCACAGGTGTGTCTTCTGTGCACCGCAGCAGTGAAACAGGGATCACGTTTGGGAACCGACCCCGTCCGCTCATTCCCCTCTTCTCCGCTGGACTGACTAGTGCTCGGGCGGCACATCCCATGACGCATTCGAATGAGGGCTTGGGCGGGGCCTGCCGAGCCGGAGGCCCGGGAAATATCTCCGAGCCCCCCTGCTCTTCCGGGCTTGGACCTTTGAGGGCCCCCTCCTCCCTCCCTCCTCCTCCTCTCCTCCCCCTCGCTTCTCCTTCTCCGCAGCCGCTTTGGCTGAAGCCCTCGTGGCTCAAGGTGGCTGGAGCCCGTGGGCTGCACGCGGGGGCCTCTGGTCCGAGGCAGTCTCCCAACTTTTTCGGCCTGGTCCCGCCCCAGGCCTGGCTCCGCCCGCCGAGGCGGGGGGACGCTCCCTCCGAGCCGTCGGCAGGAGGCGAATGTGCTGTCGGGAGGCAGTGGGCGGGCGCGCGACGTGGGAGGAGCCGGCAGGCCGCGGGCGGCCGAGCGGGAGACGGGGTACGCACACCGAGTGCACCTCCCGCAGGTGCCCGCGGGCGCTCTCCTCGACGGGCGAGTGCCGGCGCCGTGGGCGCACCCTCGGGCCAGAGTGGCGGTGACCCTGGCAGGGCCACGGGGGGGCCGCGGAAACGCGCCGTGGAGGCAGCAGCCACCCCGCGCTCGGCAGCCCCAGGCGGGCAGCGTGGCACCGGGGGCGCAGCGTCAGGTTGGCCCTGTCCGACGCAGCTCCGTGGAGCGTCCCGACGAGGATGCCAAGCGCTTGCTCCAGCAGCTGGCAGCCACAGTGTTCCGCCTGAGCAACGGGCGCCGGTCCAGGAACTGGGGGCCCGCCTCGCCCCGAGCAAACAGAAGCCGCAGCAGTACGAGCTCCTCGAGCAGGAGGTGTCAGTGGCGTGTGTAAGATTGTGGGGGGCACAGGCAGAGTTCAGCTCAGCACTCGAGAAGGTGGTCGAAACGGAGGCATGGCTGGCCGAGTCCCACGTCGCATGCGACAGGGCCGCGTGCGAGGTCGAGGCGGCCAAGTCCACCGTCACCGAGGCCATGGAGTCCGCGCGCGACAGGGCGGGCCTGCAGCAAGAGGACAAGGACAAGAAAGAGGAGAAGGACAGCGGAGTCTCCACGCCGACGCAGTCCGAGCCAGTGGTCGTCTTCGACCTGTCCAACCTGTGCAAGGGCGAGTTGCCCGACCTTTTCGACGGGGATCTGTTCGAGATGGGCCACCTCGAGGCTGACAAAAGCGAGCATGCGGCATGCCGGAAGCTCAAGACCCAGTTGCAAAACGAGCTCACCACGGCAATGCTGAACCATGTCGCGGCTGGCGCGCAGGCGCTGGGCGCCATGCGGCAGGAGATGCAGCTCGTGCGCGACCGACTCGCCACGCAGAGAAGGAGACGCTCGCCGCCGACAAGAAAAAGGGGGCAACATTGGAGTCCATGACGGAGCTGCGGTCGCAACCCCAGCCGACGCCGACAAGGGCGAAACCAAGAGAAGAGATGCGCGGACAATGGGGCTCCATGGGCAAACCAGCGGCGCAGGCCGCCTCCTCGGGTTCGAGCAGCGGTCAAGGGGATCCTATTGCGCCCGGCGCAGGTGCCCGAGCCCGCGGGCGCAGCTCCGGCGGCGCGGACCTGTCAGGCGCAGCCGCTGCCACGGGGCGCGCGCGGCAGATAGCCGTCGGCTGGGCCCTGGCAGCCACGGCCGCGTCAGAACAAGTCGCCTCCGCCAAGGATGCCCCGTCTCGCGGGCAACCGAGCTTCGAACGGGCCGCCGCAATCGGCGATTGCGGCCGCTTTCAGTGGGCCAGGTATTTCAGAAAGAGTAGCGCTGCGAGTGCGCGCCCAGGGGCTGCGGCTTTCCCGTCGACGCCGCGGACCTGGGTGGGCCCTGAGAAGGTCGAGACCGCCCTGCGCTGCCTGTCGCGCGTGGCCCCGCACTGTGGAATCCAGAGGACCGACCCGACGGACCCCGTCGGGCTCGCGGAAGGGTCGCCAGGTCATTTACGACGTGGATCAGGAGCTGGCTTGTGAAACCCAGGGCCCTTGCGTCCAACCGAGCGGGCTGGGGCGGCGCCGACTGGGGGGGGGGGGCGCGCCCCGCGCGTCGTCCGCTTGGAGATCTTCGACGCTGTCTTCGAGTCGGGCACGCGCCTTGCAGGGGGGCTCCAGCTGGCGCGGGGCACGCGCGAGCGCGCGCTGCAGGCGGGTGCTAGCAGCCGCGGGCGCCCGGGCATAACATTCCAGGTGCTCGCTCGGGCGGGCTCGGAAGGGCTCGAAGCCAGACTGCGCGACCGCGTCGATGCGGCGCTGGAGAGGAGGCGGTGGCTCGACGAGAGGTCGCCGCAGATCCTTGGACGGAACCGCACGGGCGCGACGATCGGGGTGCCGCCCCCCCAGTGCGAAGCGTCCAACGGGGGCTCCGCCCACGCGATCGAGATGCAGGCGTCGCGGCGCGCCGGGAGGCGGGCCCTGGGCACTGGGCCGCGCGCGGAGTCCGACTCGGAGGGCGAGGGAGGCTATTGGCGCGAGCCTTGCGTCGCTGAGTGGCCCCGGGGCGCGAGGTTCGGCCGCGCTCGGGCGCCCGCGAGGCTGGCGACGGGGATGTGCGCCCGAGCGCGGAGGCGAGGTCTGCGCGCTCGTCGGCGTTTCTCCCGTTGGATCTGGTCGCGCAACAGCCGGAGGCGGCGAGTGGCTGCCGTGGTCCGCAGCGGCAGCGGGGTCCTGGGGGGGGGGTCAATGGCCCGCAACGCCGAGGCCCCCCGCCTTCCGCGGGAACGCCTGGACGGAGACCAGATAGACATCGAGCAGAGCCGCCCCCGAAGCACGCGCTGAGTTGCTCGCCGCGGCCGCGGCGACGGCGCGGCGGAGGGCGCCGACTGCGGACTCCGCCAGTCGCCAAAAGAAGGCTCGTACACCACGAGGAGGAGTAAGCTCCCCGCGGCCATTGCGGCGGAGATCGCCGACCTCGGGGGCGGCCAGGCGCCCGGCGGTGCAGGCGAGCTTCCCGAGCGACAAGTCCGCCGGCGTAGCAAATGACGAAAGATTCAAACCATGTCGGGGAACATGGCGAGCTGCAGCAATCTGAGGGCCCAGATGAAGGGAGACCGCGCCCCCTAGGACATCGGAGCAGCCCCCATCATGGAGCGCCACTTTGGCGATTTCAAGACGGACAGCGCCATGAATGCAGCCGGGCGACGGGGGTGGGAGGCTGACTTCCTCTCTGCGAGTCGCACTGGGTAGGGCGACGCGGGAGGCGTTGGCGCCATCGCCAGGCCGCGGGTCGCAGTCAGGATGCTGGAGTTCCAGCGCGACTGGATCCACGCGCCCGTCGCAGCGAGGCACGGCTTTCGGGCCGCATGCTCGGGGCCGAAGGGGAAATCATTTCTGGCCTCGATCTACTGCCGCGCCTCCCGCGACCTTGGCGACGTCGACGTCGACGTGCCGTGCCAGGTTGGGGGCGGGGTGGGGGTGGGGTGGGGGGGGGGGCGCGGGGGGGGTGCTTGGGGCCGCTGGCCGACCCGTCGCCATGGGCGACGACAGGAAGATGCTTTCCGATTCCCCTCGCAGGCGTTCCGGCCCCAGTCTGCGCGGGGAGTCATTCGCGCGCCCCCGCTGACGGAGGCCGCCTCCGTCGCTCCCGGGGGCGCGCCCGTCATCGATTTATGCGTCGTCGGTTGCTTCCTGGGCAAGGGCAGGGCTGGCGGGTGCGACGACCTCTCCGCCCCCGCCCGAGCGGCGGCGGTGCGCGCGGCCATCGGCCCGCAAAGGCGCCCGCCGATCTTCGACGCTGCGCGCAAGAACACCGGCGCGAAGGACCTCCACCAGGCGCGGACCATTCATTGAACGGGCAACACCCTGGACGAGCAGTCTTTCGCCTGGTTCAGCGGGCACGAGGGCGAGCTGATTGAGCGCGATAAGTTGGCGGGCGAAGGCGATGCATTCCGCGTGCGCGCGCAAGGGGCCCAGTTCGCCGCCGCCGCCATGGTCGCGCGTCGCCGCAGCGAGGCGCGTCGCGACGAGCTACGGGGCGCCGGAGGCCAGGATTGTCTACTGGCAGTGGCTCTCAGATCGCCTGCGCGAGCGGCCTCCCGGCGAGCTGCTCTTTTCCAGACTGGGGGCGGGGGGCGCGCTCGTCGCCCTGGAGGCCCGCCCCTTCGCCCCCCGGGTTTCGCCCCGCCCTTCGTCGACGAGGCCGGGCCCGAGATGCTGGGCGCGCGGCGCGAGCTGGTCCGGGAGCTCGACATCTTCGGCGAGGAGGTCCTAGACCACCTTGACCACGACCCCAGGAAGTGTGCGCAGTGGGCGTCTGACCAGGCGGCGCGCCGCACGTGCCGTGCGAGGCTTGGCTGGCCCCGTGGCCCCGCCCGTTGGGGTGGTCTGCGAGGGGCCATCGAGTGGCTCGAGCAGGGGGCGCCGCGGTCGATCCAATCCACGGCCACCAGTGGCGGCGAGGCGCAGGACATGATGGGCGAGGCCGCGAATGCCATCATACCATGGCGTGATCCATGGACGGCAGGACCTGCGGTCAATGCGATCGAG